GAATCACACCAGAGCTCTCATATTTATACTATGTGTTACGAATAAACATACAGCAGTTATTCGGGCGTGTAGACTTTCACCTCATGACTTATGTGTGTGTGTGTGTGTGTGTGTGTGACACATTGAGACAAAAAACACAAGTAGCTTGGTTCTAATGACTGCTGTCTGCTTACTGCAAGCTTAAAATGATACAACAGAATAAGTAACACAATTTATACATACAAATTAAAAGTTGAGTCAATACACAACTGAACATCGCTGAATTCAGTACCCTCACATGTTTTAAGGTCCCATTCTATGTTAGATGGTGGCAAACGATTTCACTTTTGGTTGTTTCTGCAATATGCAGTTTTTGTATACAACTAGAAAGATAAGAAGAAAATTAGATGAAACTAAAATTCCTACCGATTCCTTCACTGGGGGAATGTACAGTAGTCGTCGACCGTGACTGCTGCAACGTGTCTCTTTCCACTTCGGGGAGCAGTTGGATCGACAAACACATTTGGCAGCTCTTGCTTAAGATCTGGTTCCAATTTTTAGGGACTAATTTTAGAATCCCAAGAATATATATTAAAGATTCGTTATTTTGCCCTTCGTGACGCCCTTTATTGGGTTCAAAGAAAGTACAACTTACTTTTTGATACATTGTATGCCGCCCACTGATATCTCTCCATACATGAACTCAGAAAGAGGGATGTTTACCAATAAAAACTGGTAGCCCAAAGTGTAATAAGGAGAGAGTGCAATAAAGCCTTGAGCTATTGGTAATGGAAACTGACCATTACCAATAGCATGATGAGTCGCTCTGTGTCAGTAGAGACCATCCTGCAAAGTGCACCCATACGCCCATGTAGATGATTAGTGTCGCTTTGTAACCATAAACCTGGACTTTGGTTTATTAAAGCACAACCTTTGAGTCCGACCGCACAGTGTAACCACAACCTCGAGAAATGTGACTCATGGTCGACACTGCAGAGAAGGGGGAAGACCTCAACAATGAAACAGAAATGTTAACATATTCTGACAGGAAAAAAAGGAGAATGTGCCTTTTCATATGACTCCTGCACGTTGGCTTTTTGACAACAAAGAACAAGTCAGCATTAACAGGAAAGAGCATGTTCTATTTTTTTGCGTGACGATTGATTGCTTGTGCAGTTCCTTCAGAAAAGTCACCCTGATCATAGGGAATCACCCTAATCAGCACAGTCTGATGCTGCGAGGTAAAACCATGTGGCCGGTTCACTTTAAAGGCTGAAACGTCTGATGGCTGAGAGCTTTGAAGTGAGATCTTACATCCTAACCCTTCCACCATTTCACATCTTCTTAGTTTTGTTCTTGTTAGAGAGCTGGCAAAGAGGTACATCTGCCAGGACTAAGTAGAGAAATACATTAACACATCCGCTTTGTGCTCACTTAGGTATCATTGACTAACAGAGCGCAACAACTTCTGAACCTCGTCGACGGAGTCGGCGTCCAGCTTGACAAAGTTCGTTACCTAGAAAGGCAGGTTTTTTTTCAGGTCCAGGGGCTTGTTTCCACCAGGGTCCCGCCGTCTCTCACATTACCACACAGAGGCGAATCTTGGCCTGACAGGTAATGCAGGAAGGGCAGTTTTAGAAGGCATCAAATATTCATGTGAGTCTACGAAAGTGCTGGCCGGGATTCATGGCCCGCGGGCACATGGCTGCCTGCGCTCCTTCATCACTGCCGCTGCACGGACCCCCGAGGCTGGATTCTTTATATTGGATATATTTGTTTGTGTGTGTGTGTGCGCGTGGGGGGGGGGCTTGGGCACAGTGATGCAATATCATGTGTCAAGGCTGAAGGTTCAGACTCATTGCTCCCACCAGCCGTGAGCGCCCACCTCCCCCTTTCTCTGTGTCGCATGGGCACGTCGCGTTCAGGAGCCGTTTGCTCATGTGCCATGTCCCTTGGCTTTGGAATAGACAGGAGGACATTCAGTCCATCACTTGGCACTGACTGGACAGGAGCTTCCTGTGAGGTCCTCAGTGGTGTGTTCCAGAAACCTCCAGTCAGCTGATCCTCCAAAGTGAAGCCAAGCCTCTCAGAGAGAGAGAGAGAGAGAGAGAGAGAGAGAGAGAGAGAGAGAGAGAGAGAGAGAGAGAGAGAGAGAGAGCTCCACTTTTCCCACTGTCACTACGCGCCCACACCTCTGAGGTTTTCTGGGGGACTCTAAACTCCAGCCCAGTTGGAGTAGCTGCTGGTGGAGGAAGGAGGCGTCGGTAGAGCAGCAGCTGCATCAAGGAGCGTCGGAGCCGACGGAGAGCGGCGCAGAGCGGCGCGGGGGAGCGGAGGAGCGGAGGAGCGGGGGAGACGGCTGCAGGTGTCGGTGTACGAGTCGCGATGGAGGCGCGCGGCGCGCGAGACTGAAGGGAGCACCGCTTCTGGAAAGCGCTCGCTTTGTTAAGGTGGATTACAAAGTGGAGGGGGCGGGAAGACAAATACGACAACAACTAAACAACAACAACAACAACAACAACAACAACAACAAAACGCCTTCGTGTTGCTGTCTACTTCACTTGGCTGGATTACCTCAGCACCATGAACGTGTCGCCTCCGGACCGCGGGAAAAACGTGCGCGAGCTGGCTTTGGAGATAGCCGTCCGAGTTCTGCTTTTCGGAGTTTTTGTGTAAGTATAAAAAGTCTTGAAATAATTCCATTTGATGCGCCCCCCCCCCCCCATGACCCACGTCCGTGCGCCATTCCACACGCTCGAGACCCTGACGTGCTGCGTTCAGGGTCGTTTGCGGTGGTTCCCGCGCTGATCCGCTGTCAGTGTGCACATCACACGCACAGCGAGCGGTTACAGGTGGCAAAAAAACAACAACCAGCTCAGCATTTTACTACCCGGCACGAATTAACGTGTCACTGTTCATGGATGACACATATATCACGGGTTTCCATCAATGGTGCCGATTACAGATGCTCAGAGAAACAGAGGCAGCATCTTCTGACACCTTCACTCACCACGCGGTGAGATCTATTTCAGTACTTGCGTCATCACACCGTGCGTGAAGATTTCTCCTCTCAAAAGCAGCCTTCAAAACTGACGTAAATATAAATGATTAATTGATTTTTGGCCTGGAAAGCGTTGTGCATTGTTTGCATCACAATTGTGTCACATTGACTCTCTGCTTGATGTGCTCTAATAACAGCCGTGAGTCCTGATATCTGACTTACACCCATCCCTGCTCCTTGATTGCACCCTTGGGAGAGAGAAACAAGTGGAAAGCAAAAGAAAGAAAGATCAGCAGCAATATCAGCACCGCTGTCTGCTTAGCCTGTAGACTGGCGCTAACATCTGTCCGTGCATGGGCTAAGTGATGCATGTGTGCGCTGCTATTCCGCTTTAAAAGGATCCAAGAAGAGCTTGATGCTGCATAGAGGGAACAACTCACCTAGAGGGATCAGACCACAGCGGGACACATATCCCATGGTGCAGCCCCTCGGCCCCTCGGCCCATTTGTTGCGTTAACGGAGTGCTCCAAGCCACAAAAGAAAAAACCCCAAAACCAATTCTCACAATATCATCAGCGCCATCAGCTCGCTGCCGCCACCGAAGCCCACGTCACAAAGTTCTTGATCGCCATAATGACTTGAGTTCTACACAGAAAGCCCGCTGGAGGCTAGAAGCCTGGTTTGCAAACGGACATCTTCAGTAAAGCTGATCTGCTGAAGAGCCCTTATTGTGGCTCCACAGACAAGTCCAAGGCCAGACATGGTGACGAAACACAGAGCAAATTCTGAAATTTGATCTTTGTGGCAAACTGTGTTTTGGGGCTCTGTGTAAGACTAAGGACCTTTATCTTCGTACGGGATCACATGTTTTGACAGATGAATCATTTTGTCTCATAGATTTCTTTTATTTGTAATTGCTAAGTGAGCTTTTTGCCTGAGGGATCAGAGAGACGGAGCTGCTCTCTGGCCCGGTGGGTCAGCGGTTCCCTGTTCTTGTCACACCTCAAACCCCCAGGTGAAGGTAGATAATTGGGGTCAACTAGAATCAGCTGGAGGTGTAAAGGACAATTTTGTGTTTGCTGCTTATTGTAAATGTAATGTCCCTCATGTTTCCCTCGCTTTTCCTTGTGTCACTGCTCATTTAAAATCTACTACTTATTTTTAATTGCCTCTGCCGCTCAGTATTCAATTTGGATGAGAAAAAAAGAAACTCATTTTTCGTTCTCTGTCCACATTCCTTTATTATTGTGCATGTGCACAAAGGGATGTGGGAAATTAGTTCCTTAAGCGTTTAGCTACATGAGCAGGGAGGGATGCATTAGAAGGTGTCTACAATAAAAGATATCATGTTCTGCCATTGTTTGGTCTTTGCTGCTGGTTTAATGATTCTTGTTGGTCACACAAGCTGGTCTTGCTTCTCTCTGCCACACGGTCAACCCTGCACTTCTGTCCAGAATACATTATGTCAAAGAGGACTTGCCTTTCAAGGAATATTAATTTGCCTTTGCCTTTGCTGTGCCAAGCTGCCTGCCCATTCCAGGCCTCAGGAGGCGCGCTGACCTTCAGTGAGGGCCAAGTGTGTGACGTGAGGTCGACCCTGTGCCATCAAACAGTAATGCCATGCGGGCGTCATGACTGGGTGGACACTCCGAGAGTCACACATCTGCCCATAGCAAGTTAAAAAAACAACAACAACGAAAGGCTGAAAACTGCATGCCTTTAAAATAGCCCTCTTTCTTCTAACACACAAAGGGAGGATAATGGGTTTGCGGGAAATTTCACTTTACTTGTAAACCGGAGCAAAACAAGCTAGAGCTTGGACAAAATACCCAAGAAGTAATTTCTCCCCTGAGTGGTCGTGTGCCTGAGCTCATGTACCAAATCAATCAACACAAGGGTTTGTGTCTCAGCACTTAGATGGAAACTTGAATAAGTACGTATTAGTATAGTGTCTCAGGGGAGACCAGAAGACATAGTTAAAGGACACAGGGACAAAAGGAAACAAACAGATAAGATGCAATACAAGGAGTTTGCAGGATGCAATTTATTGTTATCCTGGATTGTTTTAAATATTGATAGATTAAAATCCCTTCTAATCTAAAACTCATCCAAATTCATGGAGATGGAGTTATTGGCCAGAGCTTTTACACATGAGACAAGTTAAATGTCCAAGACATGACATGGGATGTTAAGGATAATGATCTTGTTGTGTTACACGGCGAGTTTCCCACTTAATCCATCGCACATCTCGACCAGTCAGTGGACTATTTTGGAAAATACCTGTACAATTAACAATAATTTGGCCAATTATAAAGAAATGGCATCATATGGTTTTGTTTTATAACATTTGGATCCACCAATTTGCCTGGATAGACACATTGAATAAAATGATAATGGCTATTGTAACACTAGGTATACCAATAGCATGTTTGCAAGATGAGTATGCTTGACTCTGAGCTAGTATCAGATGCACACAATAAAGAAACTGGAATCAGAGGGTAGAATTTATTGTGTGTGTCTGTGAAGGGGTGTTGAACGTACATAACCAAACAATAAGTTGTGTCACCAGTGGTTTTCCAAATGTATACTTTGATGCACCTTCCTCGAGACATCTCTTCCGTTCCTCCCTGAGCTTTGCAGTTCCACCTTTAAAGGATTCACATTTTGGTGCCGTGCTGGTCAGTGGCGTCAAACTCAATCACAAACAGGTAAACAAGTGAAAAACTGCCAATAATATCAGGATACCCGATACTCACGATACCAGAGTTCAAAGAGATTAAAGGAATAAAGAAGATGGAAATGAGTGTTCTGTGAAGCACAGAATATACGGCTGGAAATGTTGGTGATGGAGATGGGCCGGTATTGGACCACCCCAAACCCCTCGGCCCACCTGGGATTACCCCAGTATCCCCTAGGGCAAGTCCGCCCCTGCCTCAGACTGTTTTTCAATACGCACATTGTTTAGCTTGCATGTTATGGATGCGGGCGTCCTGGTTTTCAGAAGAAAGTTTATCGAGGATTGGTTACTGTGTCATGAGGGCCTATGCTATTGATATGAACAATATCGAACAGGACAATGTTGCAGTTATTTCCGTTTTCCTGGATTAATGATGAAAAACTTTCCTTGCGATTGTAATGGTTGATTTGGTGATACTTGTGGTTGTCGTAACAGTCAGTTTTAATAAATAGCAGAACAAATAATCACTGAGCAGCTAGTGAGAAAAACAACGGATGAGCAGTTAGTGCTGGTTAGTTGGGCAATCTGATTTTTGTCAATAAAATCAATAAAAACTGCAGTATATTAAGGAGTAAGTACATAATATTATAAACACAATAACTGTGACTTTACTTGATTGTAAATGCAAAACAAAAGGAATTGAATTGAATAACTATGGCTGGAAACATTTTATTTCATGAAAAACATACAGATTCCAACTTATATATAATATATAAATATAGTTTTGTGTGATGTACTGAGACTGAAGTTTTCTTATACGGTCCAAGTCCAGTGATTTTTAGGATGTTAGTAAAAGCATCTGGTGGTGAGAAAGAGGACCCTGGCGTACACTTATGTTGCTTTGATTCTGCTGTTCGGTTGTGGTCATAAATAAGAATGCCAATCGTTTGTTTGAAAGTTAAAGCGTAAAGTCTCTCGCTGCGTTTTTTAATTTTCGCAGAAAAACCCTTCACAGGCCAATCAGTGACCCCTCATTATCTCTGAGATGTAGTAAAAGTTAAGTTTGCAGGCTTTGCTGTGCCTGAAGCGACACGGAAATGCTTTTCTGCCGCTGACTTTTATTCAGCAGAAGAGTAATAATGACCTCAAAAAAAAAGAAGAGGATTTTACTGGTAAAAAGCATGAGTGGAAATACAAAATAGTGGTAGGGGTTTTGTTTCTTGACCATGATGAATTAAGAATCTGAGATTTGCTGGAGAATAGATGGGGAATGCGGAAAGGGAAATGGCCCTGGCAGAATCAGAAGAACACGTATGTAAGGATGGATGGAGCTGTTTGTGTTTATCGGAGGCGCAACCACAAACTGCAGGTGCTGTGGCAGAAATAATCACCATTCCAATGAGAGCAGAGGCAGCCGACTATCACAGCAAGACCAGGGATTCCCTAACAGCCCACTCTGTCCCCGCTCTAAGCTACTCGGGCATTTCATTCCCCGCAATCCTTTGATCAGCTCATTACATCTCCTAGTCCCTGCTGTCATCTATCCAACCCCATCTCTTTATCCCTCCGTGGGCATCCCATCACTCAGTTACCCTCCGTGTGTTCTTTTCATTCCTTCTTAATATAGATATGGTATATTGTGTTTAATGCTGTTGCCCTTTAGGTCAATTTATCCATTAGATGGTGAAACTATATTGTATAGTAAGACAGATACTGTCTCCACTGGAGACTGCAATTAGACGATAGGCTGTAAGGTGAAGTAAAACACATTTCATCCAATTTGCATGATTTAGCCGTGAGTCCATCACACTTGAAGAAGATTGGAGGGATTCTCTTCTGCTCCGTCAGGGCCGCGCTTGCTGTGTTGTGGTGGAGGAAATCACAACCAATTCCCTCAATTCTGTGGTGTAGTCATTAGTGACAAGTGGAATTAATACTTTCTTATGTTTCTTGGACCTCACCCAAATCTATCTGCATTCCCTTTCCACATACGT